ATCATAGCAATTAATTGTAGCTTCTGAACTAATATGATTGAGCCGTAGCAAAGACTCCACTGGGAGTCCTTTATAATATTCAAAAATTACTAGAACAAAACAATAACAGTTTTGATAATACATACAAATTCAGAATATATATATTTTGAGATTTTTTTTGTTTTCTTTTTTGAAACAGGGTCTCACTGTGTAGCCCAGGCTGCTCTCCTCTTGACAATTCTCCTACCTCAGCCCCCCAAATGCTAGGATTACAGGTGTGCACCCGCATGCCCAGCCATTCTGAAATTACTTTAAAAACTAGAAAGAAAATAATATAAACACAAAATTCAGCGTGTCTGGTGAACAGCAGACAATGGAGGCAGCAGAAAATTGTATGGATAGGTGTAGGTATGGCTGTGTTCTAATTCTTGGATTTGGTAGTTGGCTTTTATTGCTCACAATGGAAAAATGAGTGAATGAAGAAATCAAGTTATGCATGGACCAGTGATGAGAGTGCCTTGTGAGTCAAGTCCTTTCATCTGTGAAATAGGATTAAGAACAGAATGTGTGCTTTCGAGTTCTTATGCAGATTAAAATTATTAGAACAGTGCCTGGCATATAGTAAGCTTTGAGTTAGTATGAGGGGGAGAGAAACACAGAGAGAGAGAGAATGAAGGAAAGACACATGGAAAGAGAATTATGAACAACCCTGTTCTATGTGCTGGAAGTCCATTAGTACAGCATTAGTCCAAAGCAAAGTAGTATAAAAGACTACACATGAGGTGGGCCTAATCAGGAAGGGTTCCAGAGGGGAGTTAAAAGCTGAAAGAATTGTTTTTAAAGTGTAAAAGTACTGCTAAAATGTAAATGCACCTGTGGATTGCTTTGCTAGTTAATGGGTGAAGCTTCCAATGTCTATTTCCAGAGTGGAACTTAGTTGCCACGATAATAGGAGGTGACATTTGTTTGATTTTCCTCCCTTGAGTTGTGGAAGAAGCCTATAAACTCCTCTATAAATAACCGAGCTGAGGCCGAGAGGTTTCCTGTAACTCACGGGGTAGCCAGTCACCTCTGATGACAGTCTGAGGGGCCGGTGAATCAGCCTCGGGAGTCAGCCTGGGGAATTCTGCTCAGGAGGCTGAGTGGCCACAGGCACTTTGAATTCTTTTTCCTTAGGACTTTAAGAGCTGAGAAGTGGGAAACATTCCACATAGCACCTAAGAGACCCAGAACCCAGGATCAAAGCTTGGGGTCTAGGACAAGTGTCCAGTGTTACAGGGGGACAATGTCCAGCAAACAGCACAATCCCCACTGGGAGAGGGACAGGACCCAGAGCCTCCATCAGAGCCAGCGCGCAGGTTAATAATTCCAGCACTGCAGGTAGACGCATGTGCAGGTCTAGTCTGTCTCAAGGTGGGACAGGAAGGGTGTACATGGGTATTGGGCCTCAGGGGACAGGTGATGGGTTTGGTTTCCTTTCAGAAATGGCTCAGTGGGACCACAAGATAAATGAGCTGGTGTTTGCAGGTTCTTTGATCTGTTGACTATAAAGCTACCGATAACTTTTTGTTTATCTTCCAGCTTCTGACACTTTCTCCCCTCTGTAGCTGCTGCTTGGTGCTACAAGAAGGTTGACAGCAGAAGGACTGAGGGTGGGAAAGATGTCTCTTTGCTTGCTTTGTAGTTATTTTATTATTTATATCACCCCCCTTTGTCAGATCATGAAAGGTGGGGGTCTCTTGCTGGAAAAAAATAAAAACAAAACCACCTCAGATCCATATCCTACAACAAGTGAAGATCCAAGTAGTCCACCACCGAAATATTTTTTTATTTTCACCCTTTTCTACTTGTTTGTTTATTTTTCCACTTGAATAACCATGCATTAGGAAGACCAAGAAAAGCATGCAGATGCATCTAGCTCCTCTTGACCAAGTGGGCCAACAAGGATTGTTCAAGGACAAGGCCCAGCAGTTCCCGGTGATCCAGGAATACTCTGTCCCTGCTCAGTCCTTTTCCAGAAACCCAATTTTGTGGAAACATCCACTAATGGTTACAAATGGAAACTTGCTATTAAAAAAAATCATAGCTTAGGGATAGAGCTTCCCAAGAATCATGAATAAATTAGAACATGAGTCAGGGATAAAGTTGTTTCAAATTCATGTACAAAACTGAAAGCCCTTGTTTAACTTTTTATTTCCTGGATTGCTGTTTTCTTCTTTTTTTCTTTTTTTTCTTTTCAGGCCATGGTTTAAAGAAGCCCACTGTGGTTTGCATAAGAGGCACTTTCCCATTTGAACCTTCCACAGGCTCATCTGCTTTGTGTTCTGGATAAGTGAAGTTTAGTGTACCCATCCTTAAAAGCTGGTGATAAAACACCAGGTGAGTGGATAATCCGGGCTGCATTTTCTATAGACTTTGAGGCTCCAGTGTTAGGGGAGTGAAATTCTGGAGGTCTGGATGGGATTTTGGAGAGGCTGAGGTTTGCAGCATCAAAGCCTGTGCCTCCCCCTCTGCAGGACACAGTAGGGCATTCCCCAGTAGAAGAAAAGCTATCATGAGGATTTGGGGAGGTATTTATGGCTTTGCCTGGTGAGATGTCCCCTGTCTTCTGCAGATGAAAGACCGCAGCTGGAGAGATAATACCACAGGGACTCTTGCAGAATTTCCCAACAGATGACCTTGTTAAAGAAGAGGGATTTAAGCAGCATTTGCTTTTATTTTTTGTTTCTATGATGAACAGCTGTGGGGGTCACTCCTTGAAGAATGGTGCTGAGATATCTCTTGTGTAAGGAAGTGATATTTAGGGAAAGACTGAGATTTTTCAAGCTACATATTAGGAGTGTCCTCTAAGCCTTTTGTTTAGTTATTTTTCTTGTTGCTGAGACAAAATACCAGTTCACAGTTTTCAGTTCAGTTGGCTGGCTCCAAGGCAGGTTGGCCTGGCAGAAGAGCATTGCAGAGGAGAAATAGTCCATGGTGCGCAGAACGCAGCAAAGTATTGAGGAAGCAGCAAGCAAACGTAACAGGTGCCCTTTCAATCCCTTATATTCTGTCCAGGCTACTTGCCCTTATGATAGGGAGCACTCACACCCAGGAAGGTCTTCCCATTATCCACACTCGGAACTATGCCCAACAAATCAGTAGACTAATTTAGTAATCATGGACCCTGAATCCCAGCATTGCACAACCTCTATCCAGCCACCTCTGAAAATCCCCACCAGTGACCCCCCCATGAGGCTTTGGGGGACATCTAGACATAGCCACAACACCCTTTCTCCACGCACACACCAAGGAAATAGAAATCAGGTTAAGCCAAAGACCAAGGACTAGAAAGCAGGTCAAGGCAAAGTCAGAGGCTGCTGTGGGAACCTCGGGTTTCGGCATCCTGGTTGCACAGACAGAAAGCAGCTGGGGGACACCAACCTGTGTGTGGCGTCAACACAGTCTACATCCTCTGTGTCCAAGGTGACAAGACGTCTGAGCAGGGTGGGAGCATTTTATTACTTCTTCAACTTCTCTGTCCTGTGCTACTACTGGAAGACAAGATTCTATAATGTGGCAAACTGATCTTGAAAAAGTTAGGCTCATCACAGTAAATCCTAAGAATTATTAAATGGCAACACAAAGCACTGTAAAAACAGAGTTTATTGGTGCATTCCAGCCTTGTAAACATTATTGCTGTAACTTTCATAATCTGTTGGCCCTGTACAGTGTTTTACGTTCACAAAAGCCCTCAACAAATATGTGGTTGGTTGCTGGATAAAGAGTACTAAGACATTTTAAGGTGGCTACAAATTGCCTGGCCCACAACAGGAAAAAAAATCTGTTTTACTAACAAAACTATCGATCATTCCGGTGTTGTACGTTTTCAGCCCACATGCTGAGGAAATCACAGGATCATTCTGATAGCTCCTCTCAGGGGCCCAGGAAGCGGGGGTCCTGTGTACCGGACAGGTGTGGTTCATAGCTGGCAGGAGTGGAGACGGAACAGGAGGAGGACTGAGGCTGTGAGCTGCAGACAGCCAGTTCTCCCCTTGAGTCCGTCTTAGAGACAGAGGTAAACCTTGTCCTTCGTCACAAAACCTCCCTGCGGCCTCGAGCTCAGGTCCCAGGGCTGGCCAGAATCAGGGCTGACTGACATGGAGAGACGGGTGGTGGTCCTGCTGCAGTCACCGTCAGGACACAGGGCTCCCTTGGGCTGGGTGAGCGAGCGGGAGGAGGTTAAGAGCCCCACCCCGGTGACCTCCCTGTCACAGCCGTCTGGGTGCAGACTGCGCTGGCTTGGGCGGGAGAACCGTGTGTCCACAGCTGTGGCTGAGCGATGAGCGTTTCCCAAAGTGCATCTCTCTTCCTGCAGAGCCAGGTGGACAGGGAGACTGAGGGAGCAGTCCTTCTCCTATAATCTAACCCAACAATCCAGTTTCGGCAAATAGAACACTGTTCTGGGGAAACAAAGGGCATAGCCACGAAATAAGATGGAAGGAAAGGAGGGAAGGAGGGAGGGAGGGAGGGAGGGAGGGACTCAGGGTCTCCTCTTCTCTAGCTCTTTGGGAAATGCATAAAGCGTAAACCACAGTCCCCACTTGCAGCAGAACAGGACACCAACTCCTCTTCTAGGCAGCGGCTCCTGGCGTTCGCATCGCGAAGCCCCCAGCTCCCGGCCACTGAGCTGAGTCCCCGGCCTGCCATCTCTTTGATCTACTGTTTTCCTTCCTAACTGTACAAATATTTGGGTTTATCTTTCATTTAAAATCTGTCTGAAGACAGATTCAAATCTGTCTTCAAGTCTGAAGATGGCCCTTCGCCTCCTCCTTGCTCACATTCTCTGCCATGGATCAGCCAAACAGACACTGTAGACCCTGGATGGCTCGGCTCTAGGAGACAGGCGCACTGTACCCTTCCTGCTTCCTTCCTGCGCACGCCCTGATCACAAGACAATCACGGTACTTCAGCCCAGGGCACGCAGCGCTATTTGTCCCGCCTTCTCTTCCTGTTTGCCTTGCACTCTAAATAAAGTGCGTGGGACTCCAGGCGGCCATAGCTCATCGGGCCATGGTTCCGCCTGGTCCCAACTTTCAAGAATAATCTAGTTTTTTTTTTTTTTTCAGTTTTCTTCAACTCCCACCATTCTCCCCAGCTTCAGACCCTACGCTGCGCAGGTCGTGGCAACGAACCACTGCATGTGTGTATAGCACAGGTATGTTTCACCCTTATAGCTTCTTGTATAGCTCTTGCATTTTTGCTAGTGTATCTGTAAGATAGGTTTTTAGAAATGAAATCGCTGGGCCGAAGGTTAAATGTATATGTAATTTTACTAGGAATTGTCAGCCCCCCCCCCGTGTGTTTGTGTGTGTGTGTGTGTGTGTGTGTGTGTCCCACACGGAGCTTATCCCTTAATTCATTCTTACCAACAATGTAATACATTGTCAAACTTTTGGATTTTTGCCAGTCTGCAAGGCAAGAAATCATGACTTGGAGCAGTTTTATTTCTATTCCTTTTACTACAAACACAGTTAGACATCTTTTCATGTGTATAGAAGCCACGTGTTTCCCTTTTTATGAACTGTACTTGGCCACCTCTTCATATTTTCTTCTATTGGATTGTTGTCTTTTCTTGTCCATTTTTAGATATTTTTTATTTACCAGTGTGATTCCTTGTCCTATAAATTGCAAAAATTTATTATTAATTTGTCATTTTTCTTTGCCTATGGTGTTTCTCTTGGGCCTAGGATTTTTTTTTTTCCTTTTAAAACAACTGTGTGTAGTCAAATGATTCAGAAACATTTTGTCTTCTGCCTCTGGGTTGGATATCATTATCATTTAGTTTCTACTCAGCTTTGGGGTAACTGGAGTTACAGCTGTGCACCATTAACCTGGCTAAAATTGAAGGTTTTCAGGTTTTTTTTTCTAGTGTCAGATTTTGATAGAAGTTTCTGAATGCTTGCTTTCAATTTCTATACTTTGTTCATTGTGAATGAGTAACAAGGCTCTTGCTGGGGCTGTAGCTCAAGGCCACACTTTCCTTTTTCAGTGCTGGAGTTTGAACTCAGGGCCTTCAGACTGAGCTACATCCTCACTCCCTTTTATTTTGAGACAGAGTCTTGCTAAGTTGCCCAGGCTGAACTCTAACTTGAAATCCTCCTGCCTCAGCCTTCCATGTCCCAGTGATAAGGAAAGTGACGAAGGCAGATATTCACAAATATCTATTGTAGGAAAGAGAGAAAGAGCAGACTGAATGCTTTCTCTCAAAAGGAGGGGACGTGGTGCCTTCTAGACAAGCTGGACCATGGTGTCAGGCCCTACGTTCTTCTGTATATATTTTTTTCCAGGGCAGCATCACATTGGGTCCCCATGGGGTGAGATGTCTCAGGAGGTCTTGTGCTGGTGGAAAGGGCCCAGGCGGTCCAGCTGTCCACATAGGAGCTGGCAAAGCCAGGTTAATTCCTAACCGCAGTGGACAGCACCCTTCAGCCACAGGCAGGATCCTGGAACCCGGAAGATTCTGCTTCAGAAAGATGCTAATTTCCAGGAGGTGCTTGTTTGGGGAGCCCTGAGGCTGTTCACACACTGGAGAAATTCAGAAGGGAGCTCCTGGGCCCTTGCTCCAGCAAGGCAGTGGCCATGCCTGGCCTCAGAGCTGCAGTCCAGGTTTACATCCAGGCCACGGAATTGTCCCCAAGGATAAACAACATTTTACATGTGTTCTCAAGGGTCAAGCCTTTGTCCTTGTTTTTCAGATTGATGGAATCCTCATTGGAATAATTCTGCATGTTCCCCAGCGTCATACAAACCCTTTATTTCAGAATGTGAAACTTGAGTAAGCAATCTTTTCTTATGGGCTGCTTGTGATCATTCTGAAAATACAGTATGGCTTGATTTGAGTTGGAAATAAGTGACAAGGTAAGTATTTTATGAGCTTTCTAAAAAATGAGATCTTTTTAAAAATGACAAATGCCACTTCTCTTTTTTAGTTGTATATAACAGTGGATTTTTAAAAACTATGTTTTAGAATATTTTTGTTTTGTTTTGGTAATACTGGGGATTGTGCAGGATCTCATACCAAACTACATCCCCAACACTTTTTATTTATTGTCTATTTTATATTGAGGCAAAATCTAAGTTGCCTAAGCTGGCCTCAAACCTGTCATCTTCCTGTCTCAGCCTCCTGGGTAGCTAAGAGTTCCGGACATGTGCCCCTGTGTCCTGCTTGCAGTTTAGAATTCTTGTAGAGCTATTTCAGCGACATTTTTTCTTACTTCCTAATTGTTTATCTATTCTGAAAACCAGCAGGTGAGTTTAGGAACCTGGCTGAGGGGAATCATTGATTTCAGGTGCGCTTTGTGAGTGGCACCAAAACCTTCCTGTGATGCCCACGCCCTGGACACCAAGTCAGAGCTCAGCAGTGGCAGGAAGTGGTCAGACTGACTTCATCTATAAGCTGTGGATGAGGTGACTCCATGACAGAGGGCAGCTGGGGATCCACGCGTGCCCAGGGGCTGGTGGTGCCCACACAGCAGGCCCTGGGGGCTAAGAGGTGCCAGGTGTGTGTTTCCACCCTGCCTGGTAGGAGGTGGGAAGGGAAGGCAGAGTGTGACGACTTGTACTGGTCCCCAGTGTGTGGAGCCCCCTTTCTCATGACCCCTCATGGGGCTCCAGGGCCTCGACCCCACTGCTGTAGGAAGAGGAGCAGGCAGACTGCTGGGCTGGGTTAGTCACCAGGCCACTAGCAGTGTAGACGCACATGGAAACCTTGGGGCTGAATTCCTGTCAACCTCTGAGTCACAGAACCCCACTGCCGCCTTCTCCTCAGCCTGAGCCTGGACCCTGTTCAAAGCTGTTTTCCCCTCTCTTTGCCTTGCCTTCTGAATTCATCTTGGAAGAATGTGTGGGACCAGCCTGGAACCGTACAGGAGTGTTGACTGGGTGAGAAATGGCGTGGTTAAGAAGGCATAACATCCAGAAAGACGTTCACCATTCATCGGAAGTGGCCAGAGACTTCAAAGACATCGAGGAATCTGCATTTCAAAAAGCCAGCAGGGGCAAGGGCACATTGCACCCCCCCTGCTGCCCAACCTGCTTCTAAACTGGCTCCTCACTGCCTGTGAGGTTCCTCCTTCTGATCAGGAACCCATAGGACAGGAAAGGAGCCCGCCCCAGGAGACCTGCCCGGAAGTGGATTGTTCCTCAAACCAAGGCAGCTCAGGAACACTGGTCTCTGCCTCTGTGTGCCAGGTATTGGCTCAAGCACTAGGTGGGCATTATGTCTTTGCGTGCTCAAAAAAGATGGGTGGTGAGGTTAAGGAAGAGCTGGAAGAAAAGGAAGATAGGTAGAGAGGAGACATGGAAATCATAAGTGGAAATTTACTTTTGAGAAGACTGCAACTTCTGTAACCCAGCTGCCCAAGGGGGCCCGCATCAGCTTCCCCTGGTTAGATTCAGGTTCCTCTCCTTCCAGACTGTCACACCCAAATTCTTCAGGAATCCATAAATCAGTCTAAGTAAGAGAGTAATGAACAGGGCTCTGATCTTAAGATAAAGGAACAGGTTGAGAGAATCCAAAGAACGTTGAAATTACCTGTTTAAAACAAAAACAATTGGGCCTATCCCTGTGAAATGGGCTGGGACCCTTCTAGTGTGGGCCACCTTTTCCACTCCCTCAAGAGAAGCATAAATGATTCCACTTCCAGGAAACAAGTGCCCTGTCTGTATTCTGTTCCTTTTGACTCTGCCTAATAAAACCCTCCCTGTGCTGCTCACTGAAAATTCTTTCTTGGATGGGAGTCAGTGAACCTGAAAACATTCTACATGTAGGGTGGGTTAGGCTCCTCACCTGATCTTTGGGGCCTTGCTCCGACCCCCATCGGGTGGTAGCCACACTGGCAGGAGCCAGCCTGATTGTGCTGGCACAACATAGCCACTGCTGTGTTGCCTGGAAGCCACGTAGGGTGGGTACGGAAGTTGGTTTCCAGGATAAGCAAGAGAGAGAAGCCTGTTCTGATAATGCACTGCCCTTCAGCTCCCAGCAGCAGTCACCGGTGGTAATGGAATTGGCCACAGGAGGAGTGTCACAGAAGGGGCGTGGTGGCCACAGTTGGTGGACAGCCACGGCCATTGTCTTGTCAGGTTCCAGGTGGGAGGACAGAGACAAAGGGTTGGAGCAGCCATCACCTCAGACCTGTGCCCTAGATCCTGCTCTAGCCTCCTCCACTACAGGATGCACGGTTCTGCTTCTGAACAAAAAAACCAACTCCATGTTGATCCAGAAGCCATGTTCCTCTGTCATCTGCAGTCGTTTGACCCAGAATCTGTTGTGAGTTCTACACCAGTGTAATGTAAGCTCGGTGTCATTTCCACGTGACAGACCTTCAGCTAGGGCTCCACCACCCTTCGTGTGGAGGCAGGATAGAAAAGATAAAAGCTAGAAAGGAGACAAAGCCATAACATTAGCATCTCCACTTTGGGGACCTCCTGGGACCCTCTGTGGTGACAGCGAGCCGTGGATCTGAACTATTCGCCATCCCAGCCTCTGTCCTTCAGGGGCATCTGAGTCCGGGTGCAGCTGAGAGAAAGCATTGTATTAGGTGAAGTAAACAGAATGGAGTAGGATACGTCTGAGGTCTTCAAGGTGTCCTGAAGACAGTGGTGTGCAGTGTTCTCCTGTGAGCTCGGATCATGGATGCTCAAGAGGGTTTTGAGTGCTCTGTGGCAGCCACCCGTGTGCACGGTTCATTTCCTTTATGGGACAGATGCCTACATTAATATTTTGAGTTGTACTGGGTCAGCGAAGCCTCTGTATCTCTTCCCAGTAACTGCTAAGCCACAGACTGAAGGGCAGCTGTGAGAGGGAGAGGCCCGGAACCTGACGAATGTGGGTTCCCAGGGCCTCCTCACCCACTTAGCCATACGTGTTCACAGTACCTGTTCTCTCTTCAGCTTGCATCCCTTAGCATCCCACAGGCACTTATGGCTCCCCAGCTCCCAGCCATGCCTTCCAGCTGTGGGTGGGCTGGATGTGCAAAGAAATGAGAAACCACTTTCGCTCTTCAAGAGACCCACGATCTAGCTGCAGAAGGAAGAAAATGATGAGAGAAGGTGAGCTCTAGAAACGCCACATCTCTGGAAACACAAAACCAAGTCATGAACCCTGAATGCTACCTAGTTTTGACTGAAGGCATCACACGGTCACCTCTCCAGACCTCCGTTTTCTTATTTAAATAATGGGATACTTTTGCACATTTCATATTTTTTCCAGTTGTAAAGGTCTAAGCTCCTGCGTGTAAGTTGAGAGCAAGCTCCTCGGATAAGTAAAATTTTCATGAGGCTTGGAGGGTAAGCTCTTAATATCACTGAATTTATTGAGCAGGCTGAATAGTTCAGATTGAGGATATACCAAGATCTCTCAGCTTTAGCTGGGGGCACAGATGGAAGCCCAGCACAGTCCCAACATAGGTGTGGGATCCCTGTTCCGGCTGTCCTGGGGGGGCATCCTGATGTCCACAGACAGGTGGATGCAGTTGTGACACTCAGATATCCAGATGACTCACACAGCCTGGCATAGGCCGGGATTAGCAGCCAGATGCAAAATACAGAAGGAAGCTGGGCAGAAGGCAACTGTACTTTTCCCCAAGGTTCCTCTCTCTTCCGCTTCAGACCCCCAAATCCAACTTCACTCTTTCTCTTACCGCTGTTTGGTGCTCCACAGTGAATTCTGACTGGTGATCCAGACATATCCCGCTTGGCAAGCCAGGAAATGTTGATCGCTCCATCCAAAGGTAAGGTTGGCACAATCCTTAACAGCTGTGCCTTCCCCACCGGAAGTTCAGGTGTGTGTGTGTGTGTGTGTGTGTGTGTGTGTGTGTGTGTGTGTGTGTGTGCGCGTGTGGCACACAGACGGACAGACACTCAGAGGCAAGCACAAGCTTTTCAGCCACCTTTCTGGACAAGTCTTTACCCAGCTATGGATATACACATAAGAAGGAAGGCTAGGACAATACTATGGGCAGAATGTTGGGAGAGACATGAACTACACCGGCAAGAGAGAGGGAAGAATAGACCAGGTGAAGTGAACTAAAAATGATATGTAATTTGGAAGAACGAGTGTGAACTACGTTGTGTGTAAGGCGGGATAGTGATGGAGGTTGTTTGAGAGATGCCGAATCTTCAGCTGATGGATTCTACTTTGATACGAGAGTATTTGTGCCTGTGTCTGATATTCTTATTAGACTGTAAGCTCCTTAAGTCAGGGAGTGTAGATTGTAGTGGAAAAACACAGGATGTGGAATGGGCAGCCAGAAATTAGTCCCATTAATTCTGGTGAGGTGGTGAAAAGCTGTTTTTCTACAACACTTTTAAAGATGAGTCATGTTGTTGCTGAAAATAAAAGCTACTTGAAGTGGTAGTGGAAGTAGCTACTTGAAATTTACGAAGTTTTGGTTTTGAAAATAACTTAGACTTCGGGAATCATGTTTCCCTGGCAAAACTTGACTCCCACCAGAATTCATTTGAGAGACTGAGAAGGAAAAGGTCACCAAACTTTGGAAAAACTTATGCGAATGGCATTTTGATGAGATAACTGTAAATAGATCAGGAACACATGGATTCCACCTTCCACGGAATACCCGCTGGCTTTGGGAGAGAGGCCTGGCACTGCTGACATCATGGATTTTGGGTTTTGCTGAGCTCCCTATCTTTGGAAAATCAGTTTAAGACTCTCATCAAATGTATGCAGCTGTGGGTTTTTCTCAGATCTGGTTTATGGTTTTATGGTTTTCAGTGTGGAGCCAAAAGTCTTCCAACAGACATGGCAGAGGAAGGTGTGGAAGCCTCTGAGAGTCCGTTGGGAGGTGGGCATGCGCAGTCACTGCCTTTCCGGGTGGGTACCTGCCTAAGGGCTCAAGGTTCCAAGAAAACTAACTTGAGAGTTTGTGTTTAGTGACTGGCTAGGGTCACGGACTTTGCCATGATCTCTTACGTGGAAAGTGTAGTGATTTCTGGTTTTTCTACAAACTTAAGGTACAGTTTAAGTAAAAAACAATAACTCTAAAAAATGTCTGATCTAACAAACACAAGTGAAAATTGTTATGCTGTTTGCAGCTCCGAAAAGAAATGATCACGATGAAGAGTGAAGCCCGGCGTTGAGTTGAGGCGCTCCCCTCCTGTGGCCGCTTTCTAACAGGGCAGGTTAGTAGTGGCAGAGTCGCTGTCCTCTTTGCGAAAGGAGGCTAGGAGCTGGAGGAAAGGCCAAGCAACTCCCCAATTAACTTTTCACTTCCTGGAACTTGATCCTGCACATGCTGGGCGAGCTCTTTACCACTGAGCTGAGTCCCTGGACCTTTGTATTTTGAGGCTGACTCTGGCTAAGTTGGGCAGGCTGGCCTCGCACTGGCTATTCTCCTGCCTCAGCCTCCCAAGCAGCTGGGGTTAGAGGAGGCTTGCAGAGCAAGTGTGGCGAGAATGGAATGTTTTGTGTTGCAGCAAGCAATGTTCAGTTTGCAGCTACAGAAGAGCTGCACGTGCAATACCCAAGTCTGTAACAAGTGGCATATAGAACTCATGAGTTCACAGCCAGAGCTTCCTCCCATGTTGGACAGGGAGACTGGTGAATTCATGTTTGTGTTCTCCTCAGAGCCACTTCTTCCCTTGTTTCACCTCTGAGCCTACCTTAGGTCTGTAAAGAATGAAAATCTTCTCCCTGTGAGCTCAGCCTGTTTGCCGTAACCCATGTGGCAGAAGCCATCAAGCTCCAGAAGACAGTCAGTCTGGCCACACCCCAGGGTAGGAAACACAGGAGGCCCGATGGACTGAGGGAAATCTTCAAGAATGTGAAGGTGCACAACATTTTCTGGCATAAAGTGAATACTTATTTTAAAATACGATGCACACGGTCGCAGTGAGATCAGGAGGTGGGAGAGGAAGGGACTTCACTCACAGCCCTGTCCCTGCCTTCCTCGCTAGGTGACCTTGGATGAGATGATGAAGTCCTCACTTCTCCATCCATGGCACACAGACAGACGAGAACCCACCCGATGGAGTGGCTGTAGCAGGAGTCGTAGCATACCCCACAGTTAACGAATTTTGGCTCCCCTTGCTTCTCCTATCAATAATCCTGCTGCTGATGTCATCAGGACAATGCTGGAAACACTGCTTTTTTTTTTTTTTTTTTTAAGAGTCTC